AGGAGTAGGAGTGGTCAGACAGCGAGCACAACTTCCTGGACGAGAACATCGGCGGGGTGGCCGTGGCGCCCGCCCACGGCTCCATCCTCATCGAGTGCGCCCGCCGCGAGCTCCATGCCACCACCCCGCTGAAGAAACCCAACCGCTGCCACCCCACCCGCATCTCCCTGGTCTTCTACCAACACAAGAACTTGAACCAGCCCAACCACGGCCTGGCGCTGTGGGAGGCCAAGATGAAGCAGTTGGCGGAGCGGGCTCGAGCCCGGCAAGAGGAGGCGGCGCGCCTGGGTCTCCCGCCGGACGCCAAAGCCTTCGCCAAGAAACGCAAGTGGGGCGGCGCGTTGGCGAGCGAGGCGCCCAGCAAGGAGAGGAGGGACTCGGTCCCCACGCGGCAGGCGGTGGCCATCCCCACCAACTCCGCCATCACTGTGTCCTCCTACGCCTACACCAAGGTGACGGGCCCCTACAGCCGCTGGATCTGAGACGGAGGCAACCGGCCGCGGCCCCATCTTACCTCAACCCTCGGCAGCGCTGGAGCTCGGCGTTGCTTCGTGGTGCTTTCTCCTCGGGCATGGGGGAGAAGAAAAAAAAAAAAAAAGAAAAAGAAAATGAGACAAAAACGAAGCAAAACACAACAAGAAAAAAACAACCCAACAACCCAACCCACAGAAAGCGAACCCAACACGCACGCTCGGAAATAATGGAGCCGGCGCAGGCGCACGCCGTCGGAGAGCTGCGCTTGGCGAGGAGTTGGCTAACAAAAGCAAAACTCGGTAGAAAAACAAAGGAAAGCAAAAAAAGGAAAAAGAGGAACGATGCTGTTTGACGCTTTTGGTAATCTCATATTTATATCTCCGCGTTTTTTTAATCTAGCCTCGTGCGCCGCGCAAACAGAGGGAGAAGTTTATAGCGTCCTTTTGCAAAGGAGAGGTTTTTAATTCCACTTAAAAATGCCTATTTATTGGATTTTATTTTATTTTATTTTTTAACTCCGGCGACAACGACGAAGCCGATCTTCGAAAAAGAAGCCGACCTCAAAAAAAAAACCAACCCCAAACCCTGAACGCAAATAATAAGCAACCCGAACACCAAACCAGCTTAAAGGCAAGAGGTGACTCCCTCCGGCTCTGACGCGTGGGGGCAGGCGGGACCGTGTGCTTTACTGTCAGCCGGACACGCTGAACATCAGCTTTTTTTTTTACCCCAAGGACCTAAAAAATCCCTATTTTGCAACTTGAGGGAGTCCTTTCTTACAGTGACGGGAGACCCGCTCGCAAACGGGACGTCCCAGGATGGACGCGTCTTCGCTCGGCTCCTCGCCGCCGGCGGGATCGGCTCCGCCGGGACGGAGCGAGCCGGCGTCTTTCCCGACGCCGGAGACCTCAGGACATGTCCGGGCTGGGGACTGCCGCTGCCGGGGTGCCGCGCTCGGGCTCGGACTTGGGGGCTTCTTTGCCGGCGGCCCAGGAGAGAGCGATGGCAGCAGCGGCGGCATCTCTAAAGGAGCCGACAGGACAAAAACAGAAAGAAAAAAAAAATAAATACAAAAACAGGAAAAAAACACAAACCAACCCCAAACTGTGAATAGCTAGTGTTGCTCTCTGTACATCACTGTTGCTAACGTCTGGTGCTTTCCGTCTCCGGGGGACTTGCTCCGTGTGATCGGCTCTGGGAAGAGCGAATCTCAAGACTTGGCTGGCCAAAACCCCCGTCGGTGCCGGTGAGCCGGCGTGGCGGCGGGCGCCCCCGGGGGTCGGGGGGTTTT